GGTAAGACCCCCCCCCCGGCCTCCCATGCCACCCCCACCGCCACCGGCAGCCTCACCTTGCTTCTTCCTGCAGAAAGTCCTCACAGCCCTGGACCAGACCTGGCACCCCGAGCACTTCTTCTGTGCCCACTGCGGGAAGGTGTTCGGAGATGATGGTATGTCCCAGGGGACAGGAGTGGGGGTCCTGCCCCATTGCCCCCATCCCGATATCCCCTGCCATAGCCCTGCCCCTGCATCCCGGCCCCCCCATAGCCCTGCTGTTGCACCCTTGCTGCATCTGACATCCCCCCATGCTCTTTCCTTGCCCCGCTGCCCCCCGCTCCAAGCCTCCCCCAGGTGGGTGCCCATCCCGACGCCTTTCCTGCAGGTTTCCACGAGCGGGGTGGGAAGCCGTACTGCCGCCAGGACTTCCTGGCTATGTTTGCCCCGAAATGCCAGGGCTGCGAGCGCCCCGTGACGGACAATTACCTGTCGGCCTTGCAGGGCGTCTGGCACCCCGAGTGCTTTGTGTGCGCGGTAAGTGTGCACCAGGCCAGCAGGGCGCGGGGGTGAGCGTATCCCCAAGGCCGTGCCAGCCTTCCCTATTTCCTTCCCCCCAGGAGTGCCTGAGTGGCTTCGCCAGCGGCTCCTTCTTCGAGCTGGAGGGTCGGCCCTACTGTGAGCTGCACTTCCACCAGCGGCAGGGAAACATCTGCCATGGCTGCGGCCACCCCGTGACCGGCCGCTGCATCACGGCCATGGGGCGTAAGTACCACCCCGAGCACTTCATCTGCGCCTACTGCCTGGGCCAGCTGCAGAAAGGCACCTTCCGCGAGCGCGGCGACAAGATGTACTGCCAGGCCTGCCACGACAAGCTCTTCCTCTGAGCCACGGCACCACAGCTGCACCCCAGCACACAGCCACCCTGCCTGCCTGTCCCTGGTATCGTCCCCACACCGACACCCCTGGCGTTGTCCCTGCTGAGCCAAACGTGCCTCGTGTCCTCCCACCCAGCGACACCCCTGGCATCTGTCCTGCAGAGCCAAAAGCCCCCAACACTGTCTCTGCCAAGCCAGAGCCCCTGGCATCACTCCCTGCCCCTTTTCCCTCGAGACATTCCCAGCCTCGTCCCCACTAAGCTGCATTCCAGGCATTGCCCCAACCTGAAGCAATAAAACACCGACCCTGCCTTTGCTCCACTTGTTGGTGGCTTTGGGGACAAGAGTGGAAGGCAAGGTGGGAGGGCTGGAACCCCCATAGCCAGGGGCACCCATCGGTGCTCCCCCCACCCATGGGTGCACTGGGTCACCAGCTCCCAGGGTGCTGCAGGCCAGGGTGACATTCCCCTGTAACCTAGAGGGCAGCCCCAGCTGCCCTGGGAGAGCAATTCCAAGCTCCAGTCGGGCTGCACTGTGCAGGAAATTGCAACCCCCCCAGCCCTGCCTCACCCCAGACTGCATCCCGCTGCCACGGGGCTAAAAGAGCTGCTCCACACCCCAGTGAAATCTTTCCAACAGCAATGCAGCTTCAGGAAAAAACTATGTTGAAATAGAAGCCAGAAAACTGCTTTCAAAAAGGTATTTTCACACATTTACAGAATTTCTTTCTGTATTTATTTTCACACACACAGAGGGGTGAAAGCAAAGTGGGTTAACATGGTGTTTCAGTCTGGCTTCAGTAATCCTGAGAAAAGGATGAGCACATTTGCAGCCCATCTGTGCTTTCAGGGGGCAGCCCCTGCTCCAGAGGGCTCCCCCTTTTTTAAGAAGGGACTGTTAATATTTCTGCACTTGTGCAAAGTCTGCCAGCCACACAAGGAGAGGGGAAATGGAGGGAAAGCCTTCCCAGCAGGGGAGAGAAGGGGTTCTCAGTTGCCCTGCAAATATTTTTGTGAGTTCAGTACAACACAAAGTTTTGGTGTTTTGTATTTTTCCTCCAATCTTTTGCTACAAAGAGGAAATGTCACTCCCACCCAAGAACGGGTTTGTCAAAGTGGAATCTTTCAGAACCACACACAAACAAGCAACACTCAAGTGCACAGCCCTGCCCCAAGAAGAGGCATTTGTTCCCCACCATAAAGCTAAAGACACCAAGGTAGCAGCCTTAAGTGGAAGGCACAGAGACACACTTTAAAAACTTTATTTATATAAAAAAATCATTTTGTTTTAAAAGCGTTACAAGAGTGTGCACAGGAATCAGACAAGGAACGGCTTCTTGGTTCCCACTCCCTTCCTCCACTCCCTGTCAGGGCAGGGGTGGCCCAGGAGAGCCAGGGGAGGAGAGAAGGGGGAAGCTTTTTTTTTTGGTTCATTTGGAATTAAAAATTAAAAAAAGGAATTAGTGTTTTACATATTTAAAGGAAAAAGAGAAGAGTTAGACCCCAGAACAAAACCAAACCGTGCTGAGGTGGGGCTGGAGCCAGGGAGGGCTCAGCCAGAGCCGGGAGGTGCTTCCAGGCAGAGGAGCAGGCAGGAGCAAGGCACCAGTTCTGTCTGCTGCAGCCTCCCCACGTGAGCCCACACTTCGGGGGACCCCCAGGCTGGGGAGGGCTCCTGCTCCAGTTTGCAGCCTCCTAGAGAGGCTTCCAGTTCACAGGGAGCTTAAAGGCTCCCCAAAAGATCACAGCACTTGGATGTGCCCCCCACCACCACAGCAGAGAGGAGAAGGAGGGGGATGTGTACACCCCAGCTCCTGTGACAGCCTCGTCTCCCCAGGACAGGATGCAGGTAAGAGTCCTGCGCCCCGTCAGTGAGGGCGGGGGGCTGGGATCCCCCCAGACACAGGCTTCCAGCCTCACTGCAGACAATTAAGGCTGCCGGTGAGGAAGGGAAGAGCTCAGTCCTGCCGGAAGCCCAGGAAACACCCCTTCCCCAGTGAAGAAGCCAGACAGTACGATTCAAAGAGCTATTTCACAGTGGCAAAAGAAAGGCACGTGTCAAGAGAAAGTCAGAGGGGCACCGCCGCAGGCGGCTGGTGCGCGGGGTGAGAGGGGGGGATCCTGGCTCTACCCGCCTGCAGCCCTGCTCCTAGCGCCCGGCACGCAGCGCGCCCCGCGCAGCCTCTCCCCAGAAGCCCCGTCGCATCTCCTCCAAGAGGGACCCGCCGCCTCCAGCGCCGGGAGACCCATCCTGAGCCCCCGCACTGACCATCCTCCCCGCACAGGGATCCCTCCTCACACAGTCACCAGGTGGGGGCCAGTGGCACCCTCCAGACCCCTTCACAGGACCCAGAGCCAGATCCCCCTTCCCATGTCCCCAAAGCCTCATCTAGAGCAAAGCAAGAGAAGTTATTGCTGGTTTTCCTTCCTCTCACTCCTCCATTACTCCAATCCCCCTCACCCTGGTCCTGCCGCCGCCAGGGAAGGAATGCTCCCGTTACCCCCACAACCCCAGCTGAAAAGTGATCCCGCACAAAAATATATCCTATAGGCAACAAAAGTGAAACCCAAACCAAAACAAAAAGGCGGCGAGTGAGGTCCCAGACTCTGTCCCTGCAGACATCTCCGAGCAGAGGGAAAGCGTGGGAGAGAAGGCAGCTCCTGGTCAAGGCAGAGATCTGGAGTCCTTTTGCAGCATCCATGCCGGTCAGTCCGGCAGAGTCAGGCAGGAGGGTTTACTCTCTGGAGGAAGGAGGTGGTGGAGGACAGGGAGGAAGAGTTATCAGTCGAGGTGTCCCAGAACAGGGAGGTGCAGCAGTCTAGAGGAGGCAGAGTGGCCCGGGCTGCCCCTGAGGGACCAGGCCCAGTCATTTGGCTGGCTAGTTGGCACAAACAGTCCAGCAAAAAATCCAAAAATAAGACAAGGTAAAAGTCAGTCCATTCCACCACGAAGAGTTATATATATATTTATATATATAATATATTATCAACCCAAACTGAGTGGAGACCGGGATGTCAGCTATATCTTCTGCTGTGGAGAGAGAAGGAGAGATGTTAGCATGCCCAGGGAGCCAGTGAGCAGTGGAGGTGTGATCATGGCCCTGACAGATCAGGCAGCAATTGCAGGCAGCAGCAATCAGAGCAGAATTTGGCTTTCCAAAGCACCCCTAACAGCACAGCAGGATCTGTCACCACTGCTCAGGACACTGAGGGACATACCAACACGGGGGAAAGCATGGCAGCATCCTCCTCCGCCTCCTCTACCTCAGGCTGCAATTCCTGCCCCTCCTCCTGCTGCAGACATACAGGGGTTAGTTAGTAGGGGTGATGGGGCAGGCAAGGGGGTTGTTAGTCATGGGAGCCCAGTTCTCCCCTCCTCCTGCCAGCCAGGACAGCCATGTGTCACCTCCTGCACCCTGGTCCCACTCACTCTTCACCCACACTAGGAAGAGCTGCTCACCATCAACGGCGCTGCCTTCACCGGCTCCATATCTCCGAGGTCACCAGATCGGTCCAGTGTCCTGCTGTGGTCCCTCTCATTGAGTGTGGAATAGTTGTCTGGAGCAGGAGAGGGGACAGTCAGTCACATCACCTCTGAGGGGCAGCACCGTCGTCCCCACAGGAGAGGCGAGCTCTGCCCCCTCCCAGCACACCAAGGAGACAAGACGCCCCCATCCCAGTCCCTCTCCTACCTGGTCCCATGTTGCTCATCTGGATCTCTTCCCGTGAGGATTTCTTGTCTACAAGCACGGGAGAGCAGCAGGTCAGACAAAGCCCCTGCAGCCAGAGAGGAGCCACCCAGCTCCCATCCCAGCGAGAGGAGCCCAGACCCAGCTGCAGTCCCGTTGACCCAAGGATGCTACAGGACCTATGCTAACTGCACACATTTCCAGCCCTGAGAAGCACCTAAAGCCCAGACTGAAAGCCTTGTGTGAGCAGCTGTGGCTGCCAAGAAAGCCAGAGCTGAACAGGGAGGGGACAAAGACCAGCTGTTCTGGGTACCCACAAGGTGGAAGGATGACAGTGGGGACAGGTACTGAAGGGAAACACACCTGATTTTTGGTTCCTGTCGATGAGAGGCAAGGTGCTGTCATCAAACGAGTTGCCTCCCTGGGTTCGGGACACATTGCTCAGGTTCACCTGGAGCATCAGACAATGACCACTCACACTCTGGCCCAGAGATTCCTTCCCCATTAGCACATCCCACCCCTCCAAGACCCAGGAACCCTCCTCCCACAGCCCTTAAGCAAGGGGCCTGAGGCAACCAGAGGGTGTTCCAGCAGCCAGCCCTTAAGCAGCAAGGACAGTCCCAGCTTCTGGGGAAAAACCAAGCCCTCAAGAGCCTTGTTCTTCAGCACTGCCAGTGGCTTTTAGTGCTGCAAACTTTCCTGCCTGCAGATCCACATCCTTGTGTGGGAGAGGGCTTAAAGCTTTTAAGAGTGTTTCTTCCTTCATAAAAGCTTCCTGTTGGTCACATGCTGAGAAATGGCAGAGGGGACACCTCTGAGGGTCTCCAACCCCACCAGCAAGGTAAGAGCTGAAATCCAGTACTGATGAGCTCCAGGAACACCCTTCTCCCTGCTTCAGGACCCAACCTACTACCCCAGCCACAACAGGGCATCTCCATACCTGGAAATCTGACTTCTTCCAGCCTTCCTTCTCAAGGGGCTTCCGCAGCTCTTTATATCCCCAGACTGTCTGCAAGACGAGGGCAGCTGCTCGGACTTCTCTCTCTGAGCGGTTCCTAGGAAGAGGTGAAGGGAGAAATATTTGGAAATTCCCAACGGCCTCAAACAAGCTCCTGGAGAAGCCCCTCTCTGCTCCTTGCACTATCCTTTGAGCAGAGCCTACCCAGATTTGTTGATCAGCACCAATTTCTCAATCCCCTGTGTTTCCCGCAGCTTCTTGGCAGCCTCAAGGTTGTCTACAATTACTTCATTGATGGTGTTGAGGATTGACACCACTGTGTCCTCAGAGAGGTTTTTGGCTGGGGTCTGCTGGCCTCCAGGCAGGTTCTTCACTAGGTTGGGTATGGCGTGTTTACCTGGGATGAGGAAAGAATTGGGTTGGGCATGAGCAAGCAAGCAAGAGGACTGCAGGGGAAAAAAACCACTGCAGAAGGATCAGGGACAGGTGACCAATTTTTGATGTCCCTTTCAGTGGAGCTCAGCACGTGCTGCTCTGGGAGAGAAGCAGTAGAGAGGCACTGGGCTGACACCATGCCCACATGCTTCCTCAGC